CACTGAGAAGACCCTTTCTCTTGTTCCTACCAAACGCTCCTGAGAAGGTACTGGGACAGAGACAATGTTGTTGGTCTTCAAAGTTTAAAAACACCTACTGGGGTAGTCATTCATGGTTCCATGGATGAATGTTTAGATAGGAAATGCCAGTGCTATTCAGAGGTGAGGTTGTAAAAGATGACTTTCCTCCTTCCATGTTTTTATTTGCTTTTAAAAATTTACCAGTACTGTATTTATGTCACTTAACACAATATCTTTCAGAAAAAAGTAGCCTTGAATAAGAGCTTCTGCTCCTTATCTCTGTCTTCAAAGACTTGTCCTGTCAAGAAAAGCAGAAACTATAACCATGGTTGACTTAAGGGAGAAAGAGAGAGAGATGGGGAAAGGGAGAGAGAGAAAGAGAGACCATTCACATTGTCAAGTCAAGTCTGAAAATGTTTCGCAGAACATTGTAAAGTTTTGCCATACTAAAAGAATCAATTGTCGGTCAGGAATGATGGCACCTTTTCACAATAACTAATAATTCTTTCCAGAACAGTTTAGAGTTTGGTATATACCTTCAGGTTTGTTAAACCACCATTTTTAGAGATGTCTAACCCAGGTCACTAGTTTAATGCTAAAATAATATTCTAGTTACTACATATAACTCAAATTTATGTGTATCATACTACACAGTCATAGTATACCACTATCATTACCATGGCTTTATCCTATAGAACCCTGGGATGTGTAGTTTGTAGAGTTACTCCAAATTGTTGAACTAACTCAGGTGGCAGCACACCCATTAACATACCACACAGAGAAGAGAATATTGGAATTGAAATGACCAAAGCTAGTTGTTAGAACCTTCACCCAGCAAAGGCAGACCCAGGTACTGAATGGTCAACTTTGAGCTGATAACATTCTGCTTCCAGACCAGTCTGGAGGGAAATCTACAGGACAGAAGTAACTGGGATCCATATGGGTGGAAGCCATCATGTGTTTTTCACAGGCAGTGGTTATTGTCTTAGCTCCCAAGATCTCTCAAGGGGAT